TTTTATGGTCCAAGTCATATGCAGTCAAATGCAAAAAAATATATATACACATATATATCTTAATATATATATCTAAACCTATATATTAAGGACCAGCCCTGACAACTTAGTAAGGATCTGTCTCAAAATAAGTAAAAAAAAAAAAAGTATATATCTGAAATTTTAAAAAGATACAAATTTTATCAAAAATTATCATCGGGTAACATTGTAAATTTCTTAACTTATACAAGAAAATGTTATAATATTAACTTAAAATACACTGATGCATTAAGGATGCATATTGTAATCACCTGTAATTACTGAAAAAAAAAATGAGCTAAAAAGCCAATAAAGGCAATAGACTAGGATGTAAAAAAGTATTCAACCTAAAAGAATACCCAAAACAAGGAGGAGCAAAAACAGAGGGGACAAATAAAACAAACAGCAAAATTTATTTTGTATGTGGTGCTGAGGACCGAACCCAGGCCACACGCATGCCAGGTGAGTGCACTACCGCTTGAGCCACATCCCCAGCCCCAAACAGCAAAATTTAAATAGACTTAAATCCACTCATTACATAATTATACCAAATACAAATGAAATGAATGCTCAAATTAAAAGGAAGACATTGGGAACCTGAATAAAAAGCAAAACCCAATTATATACTGTGTACAAGACATGAACTTTAGATCTAAAGGCACAGATAGTTTAAAAGATAAATGCTGGAAAAGTCTACCTCATGCAAAGGTTAAACATAAGGTAGCTAATCTCTCTCTCTCTCTCTCTTTCTTTTTTTATTTTTTGGGATTGAACCCAGTGGCACTTTACCAATCAGCTACATCCACAGATCTTTTTTTTTTTTTTTAATTTTTAGTTATAGGTGAATGCAATATCTTTATTTTTATTTGGTGCTGAGGATCAAACCCAGGGCCGCACCATGCCAGACAAGTGTTCTACCTCTGAGCCACAACCCCAGCCCACAAATCTATTTTTTTAATATATATTTTTTTAGTTGTAGATGAACACAATACCTTTATTTTATTTATTTATTTTTATGTGGTGCTGAGGTTTGAACCCAGTGCCTCACTGAGCTACAATTCTAGCCCCCACAAATCTATTATTTTTGTATGTTTGTGTGATGTTGGGGATCTAACCTAGAGCCTTGTGCATGCAAGGCAAGCCCTCTACCAACTGAGCTATATCCCCAGCCCTACAAAACTATTTTTATTTTTTATTTTGAGACAGGGTCTTGCTAAGTTGCCAAGTTTGGCCTTGAACTTGTGATCCTTCTACCTCAATCTCCCAACTACCTTGGATTACAGGCATGCACCACTGTGTTCGGTGAAAGCTAGTATTTCCATATATCAGGAAAAGTAGATTTAAAGACAAAGAATATTTCCAAAGGTAAAGAGCATTTTGTAACTATGTAATGTTTTGAACAACCAACAATAAAAAAAAAAAAAAGAACTAATTGAAAAAAAAAGAGCATTTTGTAATGATAAATAGATCAATAAATTAACAGGAAAACATAACAATCTCAATTGTGTGTGGATTTTGTAATAGAGCTTCAAAGTGCACCGAGGCAAAAATTGACAAGAGAGAAAAAAAATCTACAATCATACTTAGAGATTTCAATATTTCTTTTTCAGTTTGTGATGGAATAAGTAAACAAAATATTAGTAGGATGTTAGAAGATCTGAATAACACTCTCAACAACGTGACCTAATTGAGATGTTTAGATGATTCAACAGTTTCAGAGAATATAAGCTATTCAAGTTCATTATATTCTCCAAGATATACCTGATATTCTGGGCCATCTATAAGATTAAAAAATCATACTACTTACAAAAGCATCAAAACACAAAATATCTACGAATAAGTAACTTTAACAGAAATGTATAAAATTTCTACACTGAATAATATAAAACATTACAGAGAGAAATTAGATTTAAATAAATGGATTATGAATTGGAAGACTCCATTTTACTGAGATGTCAACCCTCCTTACACTGGCCTTTATAGTCAGAGCCATCCCAATCAAAATCCTAGGATTATTTAAGTAGGACTAGATGAGCTTCTTGTAAAAGATCTAGAATAGTAACATAATCTTGAAAAAGAAAAAAAAATATAGAGGTCTTCACTACCTGATTTCAAGAATTGCTACAAAGCCACAGTCATCCAGACAGTGTAATACTGATGTGAGTAGATCCATGAAACAGAGTATAATCCAGCACAGGATAACTATTGACAACAATTAATTCATTATTTAAAAATTAGCTATTAGAGGGGCTTGGGTTATGGCTCAGTGGTAAAACACTCTCCTAGCATGTGTGAGGCACTGGGTTCGATCCTCGGCACCACATAACAATAAATAAAATAAAGGCATTATGTCCAACTGCAACTAAAAAAAATATTTTAAAAAATAGCTATTAGAGAAGATTTTGAATGTTCCCAATGCAAAGAAATGATAAATGTCTGGGGTGATAGATATGCCAATTACCCTGAACTGATCATTAAACATTGTGTGTGTGTGTATGTATATGTATGTATATGTATGTATGTGTATGTGGATATATATCACACCATACCCCACAGATATACAATTATTATGTAATGTAAAAATAAAATGATAGGTTAATAAATGTGACTGAAATAACTAGATACTATATGAAGTTCTTTCTATATGGAAAAATTGTCATTGTATATTACATTTGTAATATGTATTTATGATAGCTTACAATTCCAAGCTATGTTACCATGTTCTGGAAAATAAATTATACATCTGCTGCTGCTATATTAATTTTTTTAAGCCATAGGAATATTATTTATTAAGTAAAATTTCTTAAGAGGTTGAAATAACATTGAGGATACCAGGACATTGTTTAGAAAATAGTTTGACTTCATTATATAACATTTTATATTGTGGATGATATAATAAAAATGGCCTTCTGTTCTTAGTCTGTTCTCCTACATTCAAAGAGGGATAAATTTCTAATTCCTTTGTGACCAATGATACATAGTTGTGAGGCTGCTAGTTGGGATGGAGAAGCAGATGCCATCTCCCTGCACAAAATGAAATTTCACAAACCTAATAGCTGAATAGCTTGAAAGAGTTAATTTGTCTATTATAAATTATTTCTAAGGCATCTTTTTGATGCCAGAAGAATCAAGTTCACTATATATCCTTCTTATATGAGATCTGGTATCATTGTAACTAATGAAGGTAAATCAAAAAAAGGAGACTCTCCCAGTGGTTTGGGAGGCTGAGACAGGAGGATTGGGAGTTCAAAGCCAGTCTCAGCAAAAGCAAGGTGCTAAGCAACTCAGTGAAACTCTGTCTCTACATAAAATACAAAAAAAAAAAAAAGGGGGCTGGTATTAATAATAGTAATAATAATAATAATTATTATTATAATCAAATCAAAGTGGTTGAGTGACCCTGAGTTCA